TATTGATAACTAAAGCAATAAACTGGGAATACACTTCGTACACTATAAAGGAACACTAACCTAACGCTACTTGGGATTATATTAAACTAAATCTAACAAGTTTTTGCTACTGCTGGCGACCAACCAACCCCCCGCCACGCCACGCTATACGGCCAAGTATGTGGGTCTTAACTCCGGCTAATAACCACACAATAAACTGATTTTAATATCAAATTCGTCTGAAAAATTCGATGTACCGGTCAACATAACAACTCCGGTTAAAAAATTTTCTTACGGTATTTGTTCGAATTTTCGCGTACAAAATACCAGGACGTCCAAACGATCATAAGGCTTGAGGTAAGGACGAACGGGCACAAGGAACGAACACGAACGGAACGGACCGCGTGCATTCTTCAATCCCTCTCCCAAGATAACGTGGGATAATTCTATTTGTCCCTCATGTGCCAGCCGCCAGCTCTACACTCCACCACTCATGGGAAACAAGTTTTTCCCAGTGATACCTTGACTGATCTTCGAGCGTGTCTTCAAGTAGTCAATGAAAATATATTGAAAGTTTTACCTATTTTGAATCAGAGGAGAAGTCAGGGCAGGTCCTTTGACTCCACAGGATGATAACGTGACAGGTGGCGGCGCCCGACTGAGATACCTATCACCTGGGGTAGACAGGAGACAGACAGGAGTAAAGGCCTCTCTCTCCCCTGAGTTAAGAGTTATGAACACCCATAACCCAAACAAATAACAATGCCTTCTCATCAGTTGTGGTATGTGGATATTTCCCGACAAGGACAGAGGAGTTTAGCCATCAGCCTTATCTGTCAGTACTCTCCAGGGTTACCACCACCACCACCACCACCACCACCGCCGCTCTGGATGTTGTGGCGAGACAGAGAACTTGCTTACCTCTACTAACAACCTTGTTCACTGTGATATATAATATTATGAAGATCACTGCTGATCAATAATGGATGACGGTGGATGATGAAGGATGAAGATGATGATGGATGATAAAGGTGATACTGGTAAATAATAATGGCTGGATGACTGGAAGAGGAGAATAACGATAACAAATAATGATAAGAAATGAAGAGCAATAATGTACGTACGTTGGTGACGACAACAACACCAACAACAACAACAACAACAACAATAATAATAATAATAATAATAATAATATAATAATAATAATTTTATTCAGGGACACATTGTGTACTTAGTTCCCAGGTCTTAAAAAACAACCCATATATTATTATTATTGTTATTATTATTATTATTATTATTAGTAGTAGTAGTAGTAGTAGTTGTAGTAGAAGTAGTAGTAGTAGAAGTAAAGTAGGTGTAGCATTACGACTGGCCACTATTTCACTCGCCCGTGCACCATGTGTCCCTGTTGACTCCTGAACAATCACGTACACACCACAAATCATTCCTCTTGGCGAGTTTTTACCTCATGTTTATTTTGTGTCTCCTCTTACACTCCTTTATAGTTCCTCCCCTCCCCTCTATCACTCTCTCCCCATCAATTATACAATCATCCCGTCAACAAATTTTATCAGTTCACGAGAAAATTATGTTTGACGTCACTATATTAATGTTTGTGCTAATGAGTGTAATATATTCTGGCTTGTTGATTACACTAATGTTTGTTAATTACACTAATATTAGTTGATTACACTAATGTTTGTTGATTACACTAATGTTTGTTGATTACACTAATGTTTGTTGATTACATTAATGTTTGTTGATTACACTAATGTTTGTTGATTACACTAATGTTTGTTGATTACACTAATGTTTGTAGTCTGTAATAAATGGTTGTTGCTTGTACTAATGTGTATAGTCTACAGTATATCAACTGGTTAATGTTCGTAATGTTGAACCGCAGAATATTTCTCACTAACCTAACCTAACCTAATCTAACCTAACTCGGCCACTTTACATTATGTTAGGTCAAGGTCATGTCGATTTTGACGGGTCGTTGTTTGTCCTAGAGATACAATAAGATTCGATCCAGCTATGATGACGCCCCGCCAATATTTACCGTGGGACACACCCAGAGACGGACTAACAGCTAATACCCACGCTATTGACACTGGTAAGACTGGTTAACTATAGCACTGTCTTGTTACAATAATCTAGGAAAATTCAGAGTACAGTAAAGGAAAAAATACTTAAATACGGTAACTTAGAAGAGGTCAAGTATGGTTTAAGAAATACAGGTTTATCTCAATACGAATTAATTTGATGTTAAATAAACGTAAACCAAACTAATATCTTGGTGGGAACAGATAAAGGTCTAATTAAGGTTTGGTCCAGTGGCGTAACCCTGTGTTTACCTCCTGGGTGAAACTACGCAGTTAGAAAGACGTTAGGGGTTAGGTTAGTTTTTTCTGGGCGGGATGTAAGGCCGGCGGTGAAGAGCGGCCTCTGACTAACTGTTCAAGAATAAATAACTTTTACTTTCTGCCCAAGAAGGAGCGAGAGATGTCAACAGTGATGATCATACAGCTTTTAATCAATTGCCTTAACAGTCTGTAAACAACCAACAATTTCTAGGTTAGGTTAGGTTAGGTTAGGCTAGGCTAGGCTAGGCTAGGCTAGGTTAGGTTAGGTTAAACAAACTGACCTTCAATAACCTGGCAATGGTGACCGGAACACATTTAGAGTACTTGTAACACTGACAGGTTCCAGGTAACAGGTCCAAGGTAAAGTGATAGTTTAAATCCTTCTTTTTTTTGCACTACTTCAACCAAGACGTTTTAATTATGCGTGGTCAGTCTGTAGTGTTCCTCGCTATTATACCTCAGCGAGTGTACTGGTTAAACACAAGAGACAATTACTTAATGCAGGGATTCTTAACCTTCCCCCCATCCCATGAAGTATTGAAGTATTTAACCTCTTGTGTGCTGAATAAAATCATCTGGCTTTAACCAAATGATATAGTGGTTAACGTTATATTTACCCCCAGACAAGAATAGGAGGATAATGTGTCTCTGGCAAAATTTCTCTAAAGTTAGCTGATCTAATTTTCATGTCGATCCTCAGAGTTTCTCAAGGTAATAAACAAACGATAATTTACACGAACAAATATAAAGGTAAAGACAAGAATGACCCTGAACGAGCTGAGGCCAGTTAACGTGATAATAAGGGTTAATTATGATAACCAAACAAGGATATGAGGTATGGTCGAGTCTGCTCTCAGTAGTACATCATTGTTTTACAGCCGTTGGGAGTAAATAAATAAAACTGGTTTGGATTAGTGACCAAAATCACCAGCCTCCTTAACTGAACGATTAGTAATAACACTCTAGAAACTTCCATCACGTTCAGGGTGAGAGAGAGAGAGAGAGAGAGAGAGAGAGAGAGAGAGAGAGAGAGAGAGAGAGAGAGAGAGACTTCAGCGTTCCAAGAGGGTCAACATCAAGTGTAAGATGTTTTATCTCCTCTCTACCCAGTCTCACGAATCTCTCTCTCTCTCTCTTTTATTCAGTACATACAAGTAACTTCAAAGGGACTTGAGGAAGGTTAACGAGACCCGATAAATGCTTCCCAAATATTCACCAGGCACATCCCTTTGCTTCTTAAGCCTAAGAGAGATTAATTATGTTCAGTGTTGTCATGATTTTTTTTGGTTATTATTTTACATATTTTGTATAATCATTTAAAATAGGTTAGGTTAGATTAGTACTACATACTGTACACTTAACATACAGTACATCATCTTTTTTGCCCCAGTAACTGTTAACTATTTAGGTTTTTATAACGAGTTGGTGGATATTTCATCATGCCAAAGACACCACCTGAAGCCGGACCATCCAACAATACCTTCCTATACTAACATATTTGAACCCGAACTCGAACCCATTTGACTGACAGTTAACTACTATAACCAATACACCACTGTAACTACCATCAGCAGGGCATATTGATCAACAACAACACATCATCTTATTAGTGTTCTAACTAATCATTCTAAATCATTGTTCTAACTTATGTTCTATCTTGCCAACTTATTTTTACCAGTGTATTCAAATGTGGTTCGTAATTCAAAGCATAATCATAATCAAGTGATATCAAAAAGGTGTTTATTATATAGAACACACACACACAGGTCTTGATACAGGGACAACAAGGATAACCACATTGGTCTACCTTACTGGTCTATACACACAGTACAGGTGTTAGATAATATTACCAATGGTGAAGTGATGAACTAGACTGCTACGCCATCATATTAATCACAGCAAAAAACCAAGATAATATATTACCTAAACTGATCACTGCCAAACGAGTTATAGGTAAAAAAAAAATAAGTACTGTTTATGATATTAAATAAGAAAATCACGACAAATAACACAATAGTTAATATTTTTAGAACATTTTGCCAAGTGCCTCCTACAACTATGTAAAATCTACGGGTATTATATTGACTCTTTGGGTATATATAACACTGTACATTGATCCTCTTCATGGTATTATAGTGTCGTTTAACGGAAGAACCAGTGTCAATGTTAAATTCAACCATTTATTGTTAATGTAGAGTTGTAGACTACAGAAATACAAAATAATATCAATATTTACAATCCAGCAGAGTTAGCGCTTGGATGAGTTAGGTCTCATAGAAAACGGACTTTATGGGTAAACGCGTGTATTTTCTATGCTGGATTTAGGTGCTCGCTCGCGGCAAATTTCGGGCCAAGTCAACCGTGCAGTAAAGAACTAAGGACATCCTATTATGCCTTTAAAAAAAATAACTTATTTTAAAGACCTCCAGGTGTAATAATTAAGCCCCCCAAATTACTACTAAGCCTCATTCATTATAAATACTTCCAAAGCGACATACAGTATACACCCACACAGTCATACACACAAAACGGATATGAACACATTCTCTTCTCTAATTTACATGTGTTACTTATATGAACCATGAGTTACAATGTCAGGAAGTAACAGATGGAGTGTTGGTGGATGTCTTGGTAACTGTTTATGTTAACCCCCTACAGGAGCTGCGGCAATCAGCAACGAGAAGTAGGAATGCTGAGAGATACTTCCACGAGCTGAGTGCTGCCCTATTGGAGGAGGTGAGGCTGAGGTGATGGTAGGGGGTGATGGTGGGGGAGGTGTTGGTGGGGGAAGCGAGATTGAGGTGTTGGTGGAGGGGACGAGGCTGAATTAATGATGGGGGGGTTGGGGGAGGGGGAAGGTGTTGATGGATTGTGAGAGGTGTTGGTGGAGGCGAGACTGAGGTGATGATGGTGAGGGAGGTGATGATGGAGGTGAGCTAAGGGTGATGAATAGTGATAATGTCACAGGTGGAGAAAGAAGAGATAGTGATGGTGAAGGGAGAATGTTGGTGACAGGTGGTGGAGAGAGGAGTGATGGTGACACAGGAGGTACAGATAGTGTTATCCCACAGGCTGAGGTCTCAGTGTGCCCGGATGGCCTTCTTCACTTCGGCGACTCCGTCATCATCCACGTTCCCGTCGTCCAGCCTCACAAAGGTCAGGCTCCAACTCACAAAGGTCACGCTACAACTCACAAAGGTCAGGCTACAACTCACAAAGGTCAAGCTACAACTCACAAAGGTCAGGCTACAACTCACAAAGGTCACACTACAACTCAAAAGGTCAGGCTACAACTCACAAAGGTCACGCTATAACTCACAAAGGTCACGCTACAACTCACAAAGGTCACGCTACAACTCACAAAGGTCAAGCTACAACTCACAAAGGTCAGGCTACAACTCACAAAGGTCAAGCTACAACTCACAAAGGTCAAGCTACAACTCAAAAAGGTCAGGCTACATGATTGTTTAATACCTCAGTTTCTAGCCTTGTAACTTTCAGGTTCTCAATACCGGTACAGTACAGCACCTTCTGTATTTGTAAACTAGTGTGTGTAGTCGTGTTAGCGCTCTGAAGTTTACATTTTGCCACTGACGATTTTTTTTTTTAATTTGGGAGGAAAAAATACCTGTTGAATTTGTTGGAAACTTTTGATCAATACTATAGAGATGTTGACTTTTTTCCTCGCTACATCTGTTGGTTGCTAGTGTACTGTATCGACGAAGCTGACATATTTAATGGATATAAGAAGACAAATATGGACTAGAAATTAAATGCTGTATAAATGCTGCATAGAGGACAAAAAAACGGTTCCCATATCAAAATTTAACCAAGATATAAATTACGGTAGGAAACAGTAAAGTCAAATGAATATTTTTGTTTATTTGGGAAGTTACGTAAGTTGATAAATGTGAAAGAAACATTACATCACGAAGAGATTAAGTAAAAAAATCCCAGTATTTAGTAAACCTAGAGATCTATTACAAGGGGAAATTAATTTAATAAAAAGGATCTCGTAATGTTACATAAGGTCACCACTATTGTATAAGGTTCAAGGTTCCATAACACCAGATGATTCACGTTTAGGCTCGACTGCACTTGACGTCAACCAGTCCCCCTGAACCTCACCGTCACAATGTTCGCGGTTTTCTGAGCTTATTTTTTTTTAATCTTAAATATATTGTATCATGTTACAGTTAAATTCGCCGTCCGGACAATAACAGTAAATAAGAAACACTGAACTAAATTAAATAAATATCGGGGTTCTGTAAACACTTTGGTCACCCTACTAAAAAACGACACTAGTTTGGTTTTCACTTTGAACACTAACAAAGTAAATTACTGTGGAATGGTTAGAAATGTATAAAGTTCACTGTAATACAAAACATAATTATCTAACATGTCCTCTAATGATAAAGGATTATTTTAAGACACTGACCATTAGTGTAATCCTGTGAAGATTGAGAGACTGAGGAACATCGTTGACCATACTTTAGTCGATACAGTGTGGAGGGCAAGGTCGAGGAGTCCCATGGGAAGATTAGGCATCCCAGTCCTACAGTAAGACTTGAAACAGCATCGCAGGTCAGGGGGTTATCTGTGGGAAGTGTAAATCCCAGTACCCCAAAGATCACTTACGGGGGAAAATATTGTCCAAAATCTGGGTGTGAGAATAATGTAAGAATATCATGTTCATTGTGACCAAGTCTTTCTAAACATGTCTAAGATGATGATGATGACTGTCTATGATGGTGACTGTCTATGATGATGACTGTCTATGATGATGACTGTCTATGATCATGACTGTCTATGATGGTGACTGTCTATGAGTCGTAAATGGACATAACACGTCGTCATTTTGTGTGTGTGTGTGTGTGTGTGTGTGTGTGTGTGTGTGTGTGTGCTTAACCCAACCACTAAACTCCAACAATAACAGCACTCACTCTAAGAGCACCGGGGAGGTTGCCTTTACTCCCCGCTGTCACCTTCACTTGGTCTAATACCACGAAAAAATCAATCACCTTGCCTCGGACTTTTACCCTATGAGAATGTGAAAATTCAGTGTACTTTGGTGGCGTGTTTTATTCTACATATATTGGTGGAATGCATACTCATACATACATACATACATACATACATACATACTCGTAAATACTGGTCACGTAACTGTATGTATTACCTTTTATGAGTACTTTAACGACTCCTTCAGCCTCTATCACCACCCCTTGTTACACCATAACTGGCCAATCTTAATGGGCTCCAGCGTTAATGGTCCTAATCCTAAAGGTCTGATTAGTTTTTTTTTTTATGTCGTGTTAGATTGACTTGGGGCTCAATTGATTACCAGTCTCCTGTTCTCCTCAGGGGCGCCACGACCAGCATTCCCTTGCACCATCACCGCCACGCCCACACGCCAGGCACTGATGAAGAACCAATACCAAGAGGCGCCACTCACAGCCAGCCCAGACCATCACCAGCCCGTCATCAAGAACGTTTTCACCATCCTCCCGTGAGTACCTATCACCATCCTCCCGCCGTCAGTACCTGTCAGCTGATAGTGGTGACATTGATAGTTCAATAATGAAAATTAAAAACGAATGACAACTTGTTTCTTCCTCCAGTCGACGGTCAAGCCACGCCCTGGGTAGCGCACTGTGCTACGGTGACCCCTTTGACCTGGTGCACCTGGCAGCCAGCGGAGAGCGGATGTACGTGACCTCGCCAGTAGGGTCGGCGCTACATTCTGGACGGGAGAGTCGCCGACAGGAGGTGCTCCTGATGGGGGAGTCCTCTGCCCACTCAGCCTGGCGCCTCCAGCCCAGCGAGCCGGAGCTCAGGCTTACCTATGAAGGACAGCCAGCTGAGGTCAGGCTTTACATCTCGTTCATGTTTATTTGCGGCTCTTCAAGGTCATAGGATTATTATCAAACTGAACAAGAGCGGTCAGGGTTTAAACATCATTCAAAGTCATTAAAGTTTGTTTCAGAAGAGTGTAGGCTTATTGAGGAACGGTAGACAATTCTCGTGTTTTTAAGTGTTATGTGGGATTATCTGGAGTCGTCGAGTGTCATTCCACTTTTACTGTGGGAGATATTACAACAGTATTTACGTGACTTAACACCACCTGACTGATCTATAACCCTCGGGGGGCAGGTTGGGGCCCGCGTGAGGATGATACAAACAATGACGAACCAGCCGCTCGTGGTGGAGGAAGAGTTCCATACCAACACCATCTTCGGCCAGGTGAGTGACCGGCAACCTGCCTCGTCTTACTCTTAAGCCACCAGAAACCTACCCACCTACCTCTTATTGTGGAGACAGGTGAGTAATCATGCCTCAATAAGCTGGGCATAACTCACTCCCTAATCATGCCTCAATAAGCTGGGCATAACTCACTCCCTAATCATGCCTCAATAAGCTGGGCATAACTCACTCCCTAATCATGCCTCAATAAGCTGGGCATAACTCACTCCCTAATCATGCCTCAATAAGCTGGGCATAACTCACTCATGCCTAATAACTCACTCCTAATCATGCCTCAATAAGCTGGGCATAACTCACCCCTAATCATGCCTCAATAAGCTGGGCATAACTCACCCCTAATCATGCCTCAATAAGCTGGGCATAACTCACTCCCATGCCTCAATAACTCACTCCCTAATCATGCCTCAATAAGCTGGGCATAACTCACTCCCTAATCATGCCTCAATAAGCTGGGCATAACTCACTCCCTAATCATGCCCCAATAAGCTGGGCATAACTCACTCCCTGATCATGCCTCAATAAGCTGGGCATAACTCACTCCCTAATCATGCCTCAATAAGCTGGGCATAACTCACTCCCTAATCATGCCTCAATAAGCTGGGCATAACTCACTCCCTAATCATGCCCCAATCTTTCCACACCTCCACGTAAAATTAAATAAGTAAATTAAGTCATCTCCGTGTGACTGTTTGAAGGGACAGGTAGATTACAGGTGAAACAAGATGTAAACTTTGGCGCACTTCCACTCATCCAGTTAAAGACTCTGATTAGACTGGAGATAATGTGAGAATAACCAGTCAGCTTTACGGGATTTTAATGTCATTTTTCGCGATAAGTCTGGTGTTCTATTAAACAATTATAAAGTATCATATTTAATTAGTTACTTGATGAGTGGAATGTGGAATGTGAAGACGTGAATAAATAAACATGTGTTACATAACTCTATCACAACTCATTCTTTCACTCACTCTACCTCACTTCCTCATTCTCCGGCAGGAACAGGAGGTAAGTGTGGGCGTGGTGACCCGAGCTACCACCCGCGCCGCCTCCGTCATCGCCTTCCTCACCTGGACCAGACGAACACCCCAACCAGACTCCCCCTTAAAAACTCACCGCCAGCAGGAAGAGGGAGAAGAACAGGAGGTAATCACGAAGGAGGAGGACGTGTTGCAGGAGGAGAGGGAGAAACAGGAGAAGCAGCGGCAGGAGGAAGAGGAGAAGAAGGAAGCGGAAGAGAGGCAGCTAGAGGAGAGGGTGGAAGGCCTTAGGCTCGTCCTGGATAACGAGAGTGACGCCTCTGACCAGGGGGACGATGAGGCTCGCTAGGGAGGCAGAGACAGACAATTCGCTGACGATGACCGTATCTCCTTGGAAGTGACGAGAACTTATTTAGGTGACGAATGACGATTACTGAAGCAACTAACGGAGACATGCTTACTATAAAACTGACGATTCATTTATCTATTCTAATGAAAACTTATCCGAAGGCACGATTTATTTAGTCGACGTCTCAACTAGCAGACGACTCATCAATGCAGTCGGATACAAATGAATTAGTCAACAACTTATTAATAAAGTCAACGATTTAATGATTTAGTCGACAGCTTATTAGTATAGCCGACAGTCGAGGCGAAAACAAGTCATCTAGTCGACGAGAACTCATCCTTTTAGTCGACAAATTATCTAGCAGTCGACGATGAAGAGTCAGTCGATTCAATTAATTGGTAACAGAGTACAATAAACTAAACAGCCGCGAGAGAACTGCTGACTGCTGGGGATGACAAGACCACGCACTATAGAGATAATTATCCAAGGTTGGACATACTAGACGCTCTTGAGCTAGACTTGCAGGTCACTGTTCACTTTCCAATGCCATGCCCTTGACAAGTTGATGTCTGCTTTACATTCTACAAACTCATTGACATTCTGAGTATCATGATGTTTATATACCCAGCTATTTTCAAGGGCACCGATTACTATTATTTCCTTCCTTTCAAAAAATAATGTTTCAATTGGTAAACACATTCTTTTACTTTACCCTCCTCACCACTGATCGGCTCGTTAGCAGCTTGGGCGATCGGTCTTAACTTTAAATCATAATTGTTAGTAACTTCAGATCTGCCCTTACGTTACGATTAACGTCATATGAGGATTTGTGACAGTGCTTACTGATAAAAGGTATTCTAATAACCTTCTACCTAACCAAACAAACAGGAAGGGACACAATTAACCTATCCTACCCAGTCTGAGAAATGATACCCGGCGCTGCGGCTAACTCCGTTGGCTCTAATCAATGCTTTCCGAGGAGCCAATAAGCCGTGTCGAGGGCATGGTGGGGAGTAAGCCTTTTGCCCTAAAATAAGCGAAAAACTCTCACAGAGTTTACCTTTCCACATAAAAGTATCTATCCTTAGTACCTGAACAGGACTTTTCAAGCTTTTCTATACTCTGTTTCTCAGTCCGTTAAAAACAATGTTGTGTTGATAGATGCAGTCTTCACTTGTTCCTTCACCTCTCCGTGTTGTTAGAGCTGTACCATCGTCGTGTAGACTATCAAGACAGTAAAGGGAAAATGCGTAAATGGTCTTTCAGAGTATTTATTTCACAACTCGTGTCTGTTCCTCCTGGTCGGTACATTACTCATGACGTCAGTTTTTTTGTGTTTCTAGTCATCAGATTCAGTATATAACGAAACTAACTAAATGAAATGTCAAATGTCTTGCATCCATTTACAGTAACGTATTTCTACCATTATTACAGTATTACAGTACAGTAACAATTAAATTATAGGGAATGTAGTATCATTAAACTATACTGTAGCCTATGGCCAGTTAACTGAAGAGCAATCTAACTTTAAAATGTTTTGCACTTTCTATCTACCTACAGTATTATCCATATATTCTGTCTCCACTTTTATTCCTGCACTCGTCCGTGTCTGTCCTATCAGTCCATCTATGCACCGGATACTGATGCATATTCCTACGGGGATCTCCCATGTTTACGGAATATTCGGCACAGGAGGCAATAACTTCTTAGACTAGTCGACAGTTAACAAAATACCTTAACAATGACTCTAATATCAGCAGAATCTCGTTTGTCTGATTATTTAACATAGTGAAGCATTACAAAGAAAAAATTAAACACCTTTCACGTATGTTTATTACACTAGTCATATATGTTAGTATTAAACAAAAGGTGACACGATGAGACCCGCGGGGACCCCAAACTGTGCAGTCTTTAAATAACATCTTTATCACGATTTATTTATTTACATATATTTATCTGAAGTTATCTATCTATATAAAATCAATATCACCCTATTTACCTATTGTATATCATATCTCCATACATGTATATCTATATATTTATGTCTGTAGACGAAGGAATAACCAAAACCCCCCACAATAAATCAGTGTCAAGCTTACTGTACAGTGTAGGTAAATCGTAAGCTGTTACGCTGATTGATGGACTGGCATGTAAATGTATATGCATCAATATGAAACTATATACTGTACATAAACAAAGATAAAGTTACCACACACACATACATACACAACAAACCTTACTGTAATAAGTTAAGATACGGCTCAGTATTTTGCACTAATTGTAAAAGTACCTTCACAATAAAGTGTTAGTATGTTTACCATCTTTTATTTATATCTCCATCAATACATTATAGCTGATAATGAAGTGTCAAAGGCAAAAATAATCTTCCCATAACGTGACTAAAATTTTAAACAATTTTCCTCAAGTATATAACGGGAAGAATGTGTTCCGTGAACTTGACTTACCCTGTAGTTCGTGTTTGTCTCACCTTTAAACAAGTTCAACCATTATCTCTTAAATTTACTTCAACAGATACCATTAACTTTAAAATGCAATTACTTTATGTATTTTACTGGCTCTTGAAGCTGTTATCACTAAGGTCTGTCTCAACTGCAGGTACAGTATTTCACCGTCTGATCGACCTATCAGCGGTGAATCACAACCATGGACAAGTCTAATTTAAGTTTTATGTATAAATCTTGGCATATGGCATTGATTTTACGGTTGTGTGCCTGTGGGGTTTCGAGATATTTGGTTCACACTCAGGATGGGATGGAGAAAGGAAACTCACAATGTGCTCTATGTATACATGTTGTATTGGATGTACAATGCAGCTTGGTGTTGGGAAGGCAGCATGGTTACAAGCGTGATGTAGAGAGAGCTGGTTGGTGAGGGTGCTCAGAGGAGGACAGCTTGTGGGTCGCCATGCTCGCCGGCGGGAGCGAGGGCCGCCAGGCAGGAGTGGAGGAGGAGGTGTTGCTTGAAGACTGGCTGTAGGTAGAAGAAGGGACAGGTCACCACGAGGTCAGGTCTTATATAGCGGAGGTAGGCGTGGCTTAATAGTTGACCTCAGTCATGTAAGGCGGCGCTGGTTGACCTAGACCACGAGGCACACACTGGAATTCGCGGGTCGGCTTCTCAGCGACAAAAGCGTTTGTAGGGGAGGAATCCACTACATGCCCACACAGCTCGGCTCATAGTTTTTCAGGTTTGTTCCGCGAGGAGGCTAGGCACCTTCCCGCAGCCTGGTGGCGGAGAGAGAGAATACGGCAGTCAATGACCTTTTGTTGAACATTCTTCCGGGTCCATATCATGGTTTCCAAATTCGAGTCATCTTACGGTTTACCATTGTTTTCCTACGATCCCTCTGTAATGTAATGGGCCCCTGTCTCATCAACAGAACATATTATATAAATGGGTCAATACATCTGATATTATATTCAGATTCACCACCCTGTAACCTTCCACTGTCTCTGAGTAATACATGAGTTGTTCACGTGAGAGGGCAACTCTCCCAGGAGGGTAGAGACCATCGTCAGCTGTGCCAATGTAAACTGTTGTAATTATTTTACTAAATTAATATCATATTATATCTATTTAGTTTTTCTTTTCCTTTTTTGCCAAGTACAGTACACTTCCGTTTAATAACTTTAGGGAACTCCTTAAATGTGAATGATTTCAACATATTTTTCATGCAAGATAAAACAAAAATTCTTTCTAACTTCATAAATCGATAAATTAGGCAGATGTGACGCTGAGAGGAGATAAAACATTAATACAGACGTGACGCTGAGAGGAGATGAAACATTAATGGAAATCGACCTAAAAATTCCTCGACATTTGGCCGCTTGTGATTGGTCGCCGCCGGGGTTTGTTTAGTGACGACTGAACCCTCAACACGAACCCTTCCCCTACTGCTGAGTTGTACAGTACTTAAAATTAATAAAGCATTGATATTTGTTATACTTATAATATTCGTATTAGTAAGAAATACAACTATCAATATAAATATATTTCCTTGAGATGCTCTGATGTAATATATATGATCCCCTTCCAGGACGAATTTTTATACGTATTTATCTATATATATTGACAATAAAAGTAACAATGAATATAAATATCATAAAACAGCCTTAATACAAGTTGTAATTTCTTTTATGTCCCTGGTTCTATTGTTGTTTGTTCTCAGTAAGGGGTTCAAGGGTTCGAGGGTTCGGGATGTGAGGGTTCGAGGGTTTGGTACCGGAGGAGTCGACACTTGGCAGACGACGCCTTCTGTTGGGTGGTCACGAGTCGTCCCTCTTCTTTTCTTCAATTACTCGCTGTTTATAGTGAATTATGGCTTTTTATATAGAGAGGAGTGTGCTCATTATTGTAACGTTTGGTGTCCTCATGCATATATCGAGTGCCATTAACGCTAAGGGGTGTACTCCACTAGACTCCTGGACTTTTGACAAGGTAAGGGTGAGGTAGAGGGATGACGGGTTTATTCAGTAAAGTCTGAGGTAAATATTAACTCTGTACACGTGTCCCTAGGGGCTAACCAATATGTTTCTCCGGTGTGTTTTAATCGAATCTAACCTTATAACACGAAAACGAGTCGTCTAACCTAACCTAACCTAACCTCACCCCTAGCACAGGCTCTGGCACCAGACCCCCGGTAGGCCTAGCTTAAACTAACCTAACCTAACCTAACGTAATATCAATTAAATTCAATTGTGTCGCTATTTTTCATTTCCCAACGGTATAACTGGGGTTCAAACTGCTCACAATAGGGAGTTGTAAATGTTTCAGTAGTTTATAACTTTGGGGCTCACTATGTCTCAAAGTAAAATATAACCAAATCTTCATACAAATTTACATTTGTTCTTCATACATAATTATTAGTAATGTATAGATACAAACAATGGCAAACTGTAAGTTGGTTCAGCCAAGGAAACCTAAAAGTTTTAAAGTGTTAGTTAGTTAAGAACGAGTTTCTTTACACCATTTGCCTCTGTCTATCCCGCAGGAATTGGGAACCTGGATGTTAATCGATTTTCTGATCGTATTCCGGGGTAATGGTTAGCCAGTGCAGTTGGCGAGTTGTCCGGTCTTCTCGTACTATTCCTTGACACTGAATCGAGCAACTCGTTAACTTAGGGTGTGGTTGTTGTGTTGGCGACAGCTTCTACACCCTAAACAAATTACAGGGTAATGCCTAGGTGGCCCTAGGGTCGGCCATCCTCGTTACACGAGGGGCAACCATTATATTATTATAATATTTAACTATGCGGTGGTGTTTGTCCACCCTGGAGCCTCCAGAGTAAATCTTTGCTGTGGAGGTTACCCTAAACTGAATAAAATCTTCTGGCGGTAACCAGAATTAAATGGTAAGTGCGGGAATTGCAGCAAAAGGGTAAAGATTTTAAAATAAAATAAAATCTTTCTAAATGTTGAAGAAAAAACTAATGTGAATGGACTTGGATCTTTTCTGCATTAATTCCCAGATGTAAATATAGTGATATTCTCATTAGTCGGAACAATTGGTGCAGAGCACTTCCGGGAATGAAAGATTTCTGGGTAACGAGACGACTCTCTCAAAGCCGGAAAAAATCCCCCGTCCATGGAATTTTCCGGGTATTGGGAAAATTTTCTCGTTCCCACAGCCAGATTTTTCCGAAAAATTCCGGCTTTGGGAAAGATTTCAATTCCGGCTATCGGAGAGTTTCGTGTTCGAGGGATCCCGGCTAACGGGGATATTACTGTAATCGTCACAGTGATATTAAACAAAACATTCTTCTTATGCACGTCTCACAATTTTCAAGAGGTAAAAAAGCTTTTATCTTCTGTGCAGAAATTTCTTGAATTTGTTGCTCATAAAGTATTGTATAACCTTTATGTATGTATGAGTTTCCACCATGAAGCTGTGTGGCAAGTTTTTGGAGGTTGGAGTGTCTGTGGAGGAGCATCGTTGCTAAGGCGAGCAATAGATGACACTGTGTACAATAACTTGTATCATTTTTGCTCTTTTTATGTTTTCATTATAACTATTTGTATGTTTTTGTTACTGTTTATATGCCTACAATGTTTAAGTTCTCATGTTACAGTGTATAATTATATCTACTCTTAGGGGTGAATATAGTGATCTGAACAGCCAGTTACACAGGGTTTATTGTACAGTTTAGGCTCGGTGATTAAAATCCCCAGGTACTGAGAATGCTGGATAAATGGTTCCATACCTGTACTGTGTATCCCTAAAGAAAACATTAAAGCCTTACAATACATTATATGTTACTGTACCTTGTAAGCTGCTGAACATTTTCAACCCATCTTGGGACTCTTCTACCATGACCAACCCACTAACAGACGCACGAAACAATGCTTTAAGTCAATACCAATACTGCACTCATTCATGGCTTTATTTCTCTCATATGATACCTTAGTCGCTCTAAAAGAAGAAAATTAATAGTAAATGTTACTCTTGCTTAACTGTTCTTCAAAAGTAATGGATTTTTATGTTAAATACAAAGCTTGAATTGGGAAAATATGTGATATGAATATTAATTATGTGATTTTCTGAAGTATTGCCAGTTATTTTCTGAAATTTGAAGCCAATCCTAATGTTTCTTATTTCTTTCATTAAATGATATAAAAACTAGTCGATACAAATTGTTTTTAGTTACTGGATACTAATTGAGCTTATTTTTAGTTTATATGGAACTTAACCTCTCAAACATTTCCATTCTTTCCCTGACAGATTGTCCCAAAGTTTCATGCTGCCATTGTGAAATTTGACATAGCATATCCTTATGGCAAGAAGCATGAGGAGTATACCAAACTGTCAGCAGCTGGAAGAGGCTCACCAGAACTACTTGTGGCAGAAGTTGGGGTCAAGGATTATGGCGACATGGAAAATATGGACCTTGCTGAAAGGTTTGGAGTGACAAAGGAAGATTTTCCTAAAGTCAAGTTTTTTGTGAATGGTAAAGATAAGCCTTTCGACTTTGATGGGGAATTTAATGCTGAAGAGTTGAAGAAATTCATTCGTCGTCACTCGGAAGTTTACATCGGTCTAGAAGGTTGCCTCGAAACCTTTGACCGCATTGTTGATCGATTCATGACCACTGAGAATCAGAGTGACAAAAAAGGTCTTCTGAGAAAGGCAGAGGATGAGTGGGACAAGTTGAAGAGCCCCTCTGACCAACAGATTGCTGAAACCTATGTTAAGATAATGAGGAAGGTGCTCGAAAAAGGTGGTGAATTTATTTCTCTTGAGAAAACTCGGGTGGAAGGCCTGATGATTGGGCGAATCACAAAAGAGAAGAAGGAAGAGATGCAAGGAAGGCTGAATGTACTTAAGTCATTTACTCATGATGAGTTGTGAACAACTAGAGTCTGAACCTAACATTGTTATTACTTCCTAAGTAACAAAAATATAGGTACAGTAAGTTACAATTCTGTCGCAATGCAACTTTTCACATTTCATGATAGTTCCTCGTGAGAATGAATAAAATGCAAAATCCTGTTAGTATGCAATATTTTGTGATATTTTGCCATCTAAAAGAAAATGCATAATCACAAATTAATGAATAAAGAAAACAATAGAAACTACTAACCACATATCTCCTTTACTGATATTGTGTAGATAATTAACAGTTTTAGATTCAATGTTGTAGTATTTGAATCTTTGTGAAGAGTTTTTCTGGCACTTTAGATACTAACTTTAGACTATTGTACTGTATGTGAAATATATGAATTAATGATGATATAGTATACAGACCTATTGTAGTACATACTTTACATTTTAAATCCAAGTTGTTGGTAAGGGATCCTCAGCATGTAATCTGACACCTGTGAGATTCCTTCACTGAGTCAGGACTTGACATGAACTATTTGTAGGCTTCATTGTCCAACATATGATGATGATTTTGTCATCATTAGAGAGGTGTATAGCAGGTCACCCAACAGCAACCAATAGTAGGCTATAAATAGAGAATTAAAGATGAAATCCATTTTTGTTTCAGAAGGGAGGTGACAGCTTCCCCTTTGTCTTTCCTTAAGAGGTTTTAATTCAGCAGGAATGATGCAAATTAAAAAAAATAATTTCATATTAATAACAGAATGGCTCAGTACAAAAAGTGAACCAAGCATTAGAGCTTCAGTCTGGTTGTACCTAAAGCCTCAGTGGTTTTGCAGCAACCATCATGCTAGCAGTTTTGAGCATTGCTTTGATCCTGATTTCCTTGAAAAGTTGCTGCATTTTTGCAGTGTTCTGTTTGGATAGTTTAACCTTCCAATAAAACATGTCCAGACCCTTGACCATGGCAGCCAGAGGAGCTATCTCCTAGGTTGCAGGTCACTCTTCTCCCCTCGGCAGAAAATGGGATTTTTGGTTTTAGTTCTTCATTTTCAATCCAAATATTATTGCACCACATTAATTTAGGTAGCATTGATAATCTGTCAGACAGCCAGCCTTTTAACACCAGAAAGTGTTAGCCAAAATTTCAATATTTTCGTAATAGAGTACAGTACCCAGAAAAAAACATTTCATCTAAAAATATTTTACCATGTCTAATAAATTTTTGTACGACAATTTCATAAAAATTTAATCAAAGTGTAGCTTTATGTTTGTTACAAGTGATAACCTGTGTGGTGGTGAGCAAGGCTGGTGACTCATGGATATGTGGTAGACTGTAGTGTTTGTTGTTGGTGTATGTTAGCTGTGACCCGGTAGGTGAATGTATTACAGAGAAGACGGTCAACAGTAGGTTTCAGATCAATGCTGAAAAGTTATTATCCCTAAAAATATCAGAATATAAATACGATAGAATAAATATTATACTAAATTATTGTAGTACTGTAATTCTAAAATAAATAATAATGATAATTAACGGCTTATTGAAAAAGTTCTGCAGCCCTAAGGCTGCCTTGCTACAAACTGACCTTAGGCCTCGGTTGCAAAGTTAAAGTGTACTGCCTGTAGGTGAGCTCACACTATTTGAATTTTTTCTTTTGTATTTTGAAATATGAAAAACATTTAAACTATAGAGGGAACCCTCAATGTTTCACTAATCTCAACCATATACAGGATATAAAGACAGTTTACAGAGTTGTAGTGTATAGAAAAGCTACAGGTTTGAGATAATATTCAGGTAATTTTTAATTCTGGGATAATTTTATGTTTTGGACTACCTGTACTTGTAATTAAGTCGACCCAGAGCTCTGATGATGTTGAATTAGCGAGGGTTAAGTGTATTTCAAACCCAGTCTATATGTACTGCAGTCAAGGGCCTCCTCAGTGTACGATCCATAGTTGTTCAGACACTATTCAGTCTTTATAATTTTACAATATTGAAACAATATTACAGTATAGTATATTTATATTATGGTAGGAGTTATAATACAATACAGTATCAATATGTACATAATGAGTTATTTGTATTTTTTATTGTATAAAGACAGCAAATTTAGTGGGGATTTGGTTATTGACATTGATATGCAGGAGGAATGATACATTTTTGACACCTCAGCTATTACAGGTAAAACCTCAAATTTCTGAAAATATAAAATATGTTTATTAATGGCAGCATGTTTCATAACAAATATGACATATTAATGACAAATATTATGAGCCTTAAGAAATTAAACGTTGTTGGCACCATATTGTATTAGAAATACAGGTACCAAAGTTTTGATTTTCAACACCTTGGCCATTCTAATTTTAAAGCAAGGTAAAGTTGCTCTCAATGATTGATAATGCTTCTTGAATCTTTTACTAAAAATTATTGAATATTGAGCATAGAATGTATATTGTAGGTAGCACAAGAGAACCTCTGTAATTGTTGGAGTATGATGATCACAGGAGTATGATGTAAGACTCAGAATTACTTTTTCAGACAAAAATAAGGACAGCAACTAATTGTTGCTTGAAAAATTCGCCATTTATTTTCCTTATTAATTATAGAAGCTTGCTTGAGTGGGGTGACTTTCATCAGTAACATAACCTACCTACACCTTTGTCCAGTGTTGTAATAAAGGGCAATGACTTCTAGACACAGACTGGCCAGCTGTGAAGTTTTCAAAAACATTGGATGAAGATTGTGGCTGCTAGTATGGAAACCGGCACAAATAGACCCACTAATCAAACAGGTCAAAATACTTGGTGAATACTAGTGAGAGGTTTTATTTACATAACCAGTCATTATCCGCATCATTATATATGACTTTAGCGTTGGCAATTACAGTACGGTGTATTCACTTGGTGGCAGACAGCAGTAATGTGTGCTATATGTACAGTACTGTACGTCACACATCCTAACCCAATACTGTATGTTTCCATTCTAGTCTTTGGTTACCTTTCATCCCTCTTCCAGTACCACCACCAAATAATAGCATTGTTCTGATTCAAGAGCAGATCTCACTGAATATTCATAATTGGTTAGATAGCTGTGAATGTTTAAAGCACAGTTCTTCAACCCTTAAAAAGAGTACTGAGTCAAAAGTGGCATGTTGTCCAAGTACAGTATACTATGTGTAATAAATAATTTTCTGTTTTACTAATTCATCCGACGAATCTTGTGCACGTCACTGATCGGGTTGTAATCCACATGTTGTGTGCATAGTTGTCTGTGTTTGTTGTCTGAACACTGATAGATTACAAGTGTCGTTTATAAAGCCTAATCCAAAGAAAGCAATGCTAACCTCTACAGGTTTACCAGAAAAATTTCCTATTGTGAAATTAGGTTGCGAGTATTTTACTGTACAGTACCTGTACTGTTACTTGATACAAGTTTCATGACATTTTTACATGCAATAGGAAGGATTTATGGTACAAATGATTGTTGTGGTAGAATATGGTTAATTATATTTTATGCAAATTGTTAGTAAGTAATACATGAATGTATTTTTTTTTAATGGGGAAATCTCTCACCAATCACAAACACTTCATTACATTGTATGTACTGTAATTCACAAATTGCCCAGTGGAATAAAAATATTACTTAAAAATTATAAATACCTGTACTGTATTTTGATATATTTAGAAACATATAATTGGTACTTTATAACAAAAAGTAAGTACTTTTTGGTTACAGTGCATGAACAGTTGAAAAATATTGTTGCTTTTAAGTAATATACTAAGATTGTGCAGTGTTCATCTTTTATGTTAGTACAGTATGTAGAAGTGATTGATCTCCAGTTTGTTTTATCAGTACTGCAGCTTTATATCATCTTAAACTGAACTTTATGGGTACAGTGCTGTCCATCTCTCCATTTCAGATATGGTCTATTCAATAGCCTTCCATAGAGCCAATGAATTTATTGCAAGTTTTGTGTGAAAAATGAGTTATAGTGTACAGTGCTCGCCACAGGTTCTTGCTCAGGAATGTTGGGCATATTGCTTGTCCAAGTAAGGTTAGTGATTGCCATTTTTAACAGAAAAGTGATAGGCTTTTGTTTGATTTATCATTTGACTTGTTCTAACATTTGTAATGTTGGGGTTTAGAGTATCCATTTTTAAATAATAATGAAGAGTTTATACTTAAGGCCATATATATTATAAAAAGATGGCTCTTGGTAGGTAGGAAGATATCCTCAGGTTTAGCTGAACTGTTGAACTGCTAGAGTGAAGTACTTGGAAGTAGACTAAGGTGTGACAGGTTATTTTCAGGTGAATAAATGGTTTGTAGTGTTAGAAATACTGTACTTGTATTTTGGTCTTATTTATTTTAAGAAAGAATCAAAAGGTATCTTGTAAACACATCCCCACCTGTGTCTTTCCTTGAATTATGAGTACAGTACAGTACAGGTATTACTGAGTTGTAAACAGTTTTACTCTCAGTGTTTGCTATTATGGTGCATAAAGGTCAGTTTTAAGTATGTGTTTTAACTTCAAAGATGATTCACATGAACTGTGAGCTCTAACAACTCTGTTGACTTTGTTATGTCAATATGTGTAAGGTTGGAAGGTGGACCGGGTCGCATAAGTGAATTAGTTCCATTGGGTTACTGTACAATAAGAATGTGAAGCACATTTAGTGTTGAATGTCTGCAGATCCTGTATTGTATAATTTTTTAATTAAAGTCTCTTTTATTGCCTTCTTTTCTTTATTGAAACCATCAATTATTACATGTTAATATACAATTACACTGTACAATTACACGGTCCCTGGGTTATGAACGGGTTCCGTTCCTGAGGACTTTCTTAAGTAAAAAATGTACTTAAGTCGGAACTCTTGATATGTGCATACCTGTACTTACAGAATAATGTTTAAAATCCCACTATATCATAGCCTTAATCCTTATATACATCTAAAATCACTTAATTTAAGACAAAAGAAGAAATAGAATGACAAAATAAAGCAAATGAAAGCAAAAAAAAGTCATCAGGTAAATAAAATACTGTAATGTAAATTTAAATTTAATCTCGTTCGTATCGGAGGAAGTTTGTAAGTTAGGCATTCCTAAGTCGGGGACCCCCTGTATACAGTGTAGTATGTATAGATTGATGTCAGTGACATATCACTTTAGAAGTCAAGGTAATTGTTTAAAGCTGTATTTGTAACTGCAAAGAGTTACCAGACTATTTATTTTTTGTGGTTACTTTGTCAGTAAGTTACATACAATTACACTGTAAAAAAATGGTGAAAACCCTTAGCTGGGGGTAGTATGGGTTTGTCCACTACATCCATCCATTCATTCACACAGTTAAAGCTTTTGACCCAAGCAGACGCATGTTTTGCAATACTTTATTTTTGATTGTTTGCTCCCATTTAATGCAGTGCTGTAAACACTGTACATGTACTGTATTCCCCCCCATTTTGCCTTCGTTAACTCATTTGGATTTTTATGAAAATTATATTTTTTAAATTCCCTTTTGAAACAGAGCTCCAAATCTGACTGTATTTGTCATTTCACACAAGCATTACCAACATGTCCTTAAAAGATCACTCAGTGCCATGGTCTCCACTCATTCATACAACCTGCTGTTTTCTGGGGGTCTGTCCCCTTTATTTGTAATGCATTCTTCACCCCATCTTCAGGGTGTCTCTTAGAAGAATGGATCCTCCCTTCTGTTAATGGAGGATAGATCCTGGAATCCCATTTTGTAGCTGAGCCAGTACAGTACAGGTACTTGGACGGCTTAAGTTATATGCACACTAAGTCTGACAGGTTATGAGTCAAATAACCCTAATATACTTAGGCTGGGTAAAATCATCTGATGGAGAAATCAAATTAATGTACCAGCCCTCTCACTAATAGGAACAAGATGCAAAACAACTGTGGATAATGCCAATACAGTATAAGCTGTAGCCTTAAGTAATAAAAACCCAGCGAGAAGAAATTCTCTAGACTTAGTCTTCAAAGAGGACAACATTAGAGACTGGGCCAATGAAGTGATGAAAATATGAATGTCAAAAATTTAGTTGATAAGATTGATGTTATGAGTGCATATGTGCATACACAACCACACACCATTAGCGAGTCCTAGCAGGGTGAATTTTATTTGCCAGGGCATCGCACATCATTGAGAAAAGACATGACCACCAGAGGCCGTGGTGCACTACTGTTCGTCAAGAAGCACCTCACAGCAACCATTAATGATGAGCTAAATTAAATAGGATAAGTCTAGTTGGTTGGATTTGATTGCTCAAAACAAAAGAAAACTGACAGTAGGTGTGTACTATAGGAACAACTCAGCCTCAGAAGAGGAAGTATGAGATCTTCATAGTCATTCAGACAGACAGCACAAGCCCTCATCATGGAAGATTTTAATCATGAGTGTTATTGACTCGGGTATTCTCTTGGCATCCTTAAAACTTCAAATGCAAAGGAGTTTTAGCCAATGTTCTGTCCCATTGTTTCTCTGACGAAGAAGATGGTGAAGAGGATGCCCAGAAGACACGAGGAGGAGTAGCAGAGGTAGAGGCCAGCCTGCGTCAGCCCCTCCAGCATGGGTGTATACAGTTGGAGTGCCATAAATGCAAGTAAAGTGTTGATGGAGAAACAGATACTTGCTGCCTGTAGGAAGGAGGTGTGAGGGTCAGTACTGCCAATAGGAGGGAAATGTGAAGGTTAGTACCTGTACTGCCTGTAAAAGGGAGGCAGTATATCACATTTACTTAAGTAATCATACAAGTCTTTCAACTTTAATATAACAACTATAGTTACACCTAATGTTTGTAATATCAAGGTTTCTGTATATCAGGAAGGCAAGTACTTACTGTTCTCTAAGTATATTTGAGCATGTATAATTCACCCTTATAATTAAAGAAAATTCTAATTTCTCAGTTTCTATAACATGTAAATGAGTCATTGCTGTGTTTCAGATCTGTGGTTTTGTTCCCTTGTTAATAATGAACTATTTATATATTTATATATTTTGAGATCACCTGAAGATTAGCACATCCAGCTTATTTCACCTTATAAAACATCCTAAAACTATTTGGTGAGGTAATTGGTTAGATGGTAGCAAAGGAGAGACTACTCCTGACTCTTCATGGAGACCATGGAGGAAGACCGCTATAGACACGTCGTAGGGAGACGGATGAGGGATGTAGATGACGTGGTCTTCATCGCCCCAAGGGTGATGGCCCTGCTTAACCTTGTGTGCAGACTGAATGAGGTCCACCCATGGATACAGTTCACAATGGAGAAGGAGGTGGAAGGACAGCTACCATCCCTGGACACCATCATTATCAAATCATTGAAGGGTCCCAGTTATACTTTGTACAGAAAGCCTACCAACAAGGATGACTTCATGCACTACCTGTTGGCTCACAGTGAGAGGACCAAGACTGCGATAGTCATAGGATGTGCAACATGAAGTACTTGGAGGACGAGCTGTGCTACACCATCTCAGTTTTGGGGAAGTTGGGCTACCCCAGGGGACTGTTACTGAGCCAAAAGGAGAAGACAAGGGGGATAACTGACAGAGGAGAGGACACAACAAGGGCAGGTGACACAACTGTTTGGACAGAGTAGGGAACATCAACAGGTTCCTGAAGGAATCTACCATGAAGTTGGTAGTGACTTCAGGAATGAAGATAGCGGCCAATCAAAGACAAGAAAACTAGAAGCCAAGGGAAGATAGAGCAGTGTACAGGATACTGTGTGGCTCCTGTGATGAATCCTACTATGGGGAAATGAGTAGGGAGCACGTGGCCGATGTCAGACATCATAGGACGTCCAACTCATTTGTCAACCTAATTGACGAAGTAGGAAGGAGGCCAGCATACTACACAAGGACATGGACAAGAAAACAATAAAGGTGATAAAAGAAGCATACATCATGCTGAAATCCAACAACAACAAATCAGGCTGTATGGCATGACTTAAGGGATAAAATGTCCTCCTTGCTGACAATGACCGAGTCAGCGATGCACTGATAAGATACCTTAGATTGACCGAATTCCTTGACAAAATGTGATTTGTCAGCTGGGATAAATTTCTATACTGTTTATACATTGTATATATGTATGTATACATATACATGTGTGTGTGTGTATGTATACATGTATGGGTAGCAACCTCGCAAGTGGGTGGACCCAGGTTCAATCCCCGGGCAGGGTGAAACTATGGGCAAGTTTCTTTCTGCCATTTGCCTCTGTTTACCCAGCAGTAATGGAACTGGGATTTTAATCGATTTGCAGATCATGTTACTGGGTAATGGTTAGCCAGTGCACTTGGAGAGTTGTCTGGTCTTTTCAGGTTATTCCTTGACACTGGGTCATGCAGCTTGTTAACTTAGGGTGTGCTGGTTGACAGCTCCTATGCCTTAAACAAATCCATGCCTGTGTGGCATACTCATATACCACCCAGGCATATCGTGTAAATACACTTATCTTTAATAAAAAAAGTATATAAAAATTATATTAAAACTATGAAACTGACATTATGCCTTATGACCAAACTGTAACTACCTACCTGCCGCTACTGTTGACTGCTGGTAGGTGTTATACTAGTCGGCTTGATCGTGAAACTTAATGTAATAAATTGTTTAGCAGTGTGTTGCTTTGGCTGTAGGTATTAGCAGTGTGTTAGGCGGGTGTTGGAAGTGGGTGGATTTCTGATCATTTAGCCCACTACTGAAAAAACTTGGATGCCTCTGACCTAGAGGAAGGCCACAGGTTGATTCAACAACTCGCCAAACTAATCAACATTGCAGCAGCCGTTATGACCCAGGCATAGATGGCCAGAAAATCAAGAGAACCTTGTGTTCATTCCTTTGAAAAAAATTTTCGTAACAAAACATCAGGAGTAAAGTTGTCTCTCAGTCCCTGTGTTTCCTTTGCTACCATCTAACTATTTGTCCAAATGAATGTGACTCACTTGGTGAGGTAGGTTGGGGTTAGGGCATTTAATCATCAGGTGAAACAAGCTGGGGCTAATCTTCAGGTGGTCTGATATTTCTAGTACTGTACTGTATTGAGGTACCTGGGTGCGAATCCATGTAGGGAAGTATTCAGACATCAGGAGGAAAGGTATATACTGGACACCCAGTGAAATGCCTGCCTGTGAGGTCATCAGGAGGACAAGAGGTACCCAGCCATACCTGAGTGAGGGAGCTTCATTTCCCTCCGTCACAGAAACAAACACCGCCATGCCGGTCAGCGCCAACATTGCTATGGAGAAGGACAGGATGAGGCTCTTCCTACGACCAATTGTGTCCGCCAGGAAGAGCGGGATGATGCCTACCACTACCTGTAATGTATCGACACATGTAATACAACCAGAAAGAATGCCCTCGCAGCCAACATACCAGCATTAGTCACTAATACAAATCCTGAAAAGGAACATATACTTACAATTATGGTACAGTACTTATGTGCATTAGAAAACTACAAACATAACATAATTGATGACCTTGCCTGACTACAGGGTAACCACATGCCACTTGTGCGTAACAAATACATGATTACTGTGATTGTTAATTTTAACATTATGGCACCAATATTTCAGTAAGAAATTTGACTGTCACCAAAGAAATTATTCAACAGTTAAGAAAGGGACATTAGCTTTGAATCTTGGGTTATAACATTTTGATGCTTATGTGAACTCTTGGAGCAGACCTCTAATTGTATACAGTGATCATAACCCTTTTACGAGGTAATATTTTAGCCGACTCACTTTCTAGGATGTAAAATATTAAATTTATTCACGTGAGATGTTTACTGCTGTACTGTACTACAAAATTTTTCCCGTGAATTTTCGTCTTTATGGGGTAAGGTGTTATGGTATCCTGTAAACAATGGAAATATTTTTGTAATGGACTAATTACTTGTTTGGGGACACTTTGTGACGTGTGCGTGTGTGCATGACCCCTCTATGTGTGTTGTTGCCAGTTACTTGAGGCATCAGTCCGGCTCAACACTCACAGGTCTGTTTATTCTCCGTTTGAAGTTCTCTATACAGTGATCCCTCGGTTAACGAACACCTCGGTTAACGATTTACCTTCCATAAGATTCTTCACTTCGGTTAACGAGCAAACCCTCGGTTAACGAATTCCTTACGAATTTTCCCCCAACATGTTTTCGCCTGCATTTGGCTGCCCACCAGCTGTAGTATTAGTCAGGCAATACAGTAATCAGTTGTAGGGCTTAAATTCCTTACCATTTTAGTAAATATCAAGAAGGCTGTACTATTCAATAATTTTAAAAGTTTTATATTAAATTTTTTAGTCATTTTAACAATTATTGAACATAATTGAAGTACAGGAAGCTAGTTATTTGCGCGCCAAACATCCACTCAACACACCAAGCTTGGCATCAGTTTGTTTACCAGTTCAGAGGAAGGAACATCTTGTTTGAGACTCTTCAACATAAAGGCTTTTTTTCTGTGTTTCCAGTCAAATTATTGGTCATTTTGAAATATATTTTACATATTGACAATATATAATGCAGTACAGTGTTGATTTAAAAAAAATAATCTTGAATTACACCAAGTGAACTAAAATTTTATGGGTGAAATGGCAGCATGGGGTGACTTCTCTTCCACCCCAATGCATTCTCTTCTCCCTTCTCCTCCACCCCCATTCTAATTCCCATCATCATCATCATCAACCAGGAGCCTTCTACATGCATACCTCAAAATAAGTGTACTTTACTGCATTTATTTTTAGTTTGTATGTAATTTTTGGTGAGCTGGAACCAATTACCCAAAAACCCATTGAAACAATGGTTTAGGTTAACGAATTTTTCGGTTAAGGAGCAACCTTCTGGAACGAATTGTGCTCGTTAACCGAGGGACCACTGTGTTGTTTCTCCATGTGTTTATCATTTATGTTTGTTTAATTTAAGTCAAGTATTGTAATCATTAATGTCATTACATTCTGTACCTCATAATTGTGAACTTACAATGTATACAAGTGTTAAGGATTTGGTTGTGGTGTAACTAAATCATATCTTTTGTTATCAAAGCTTACACTAAACCTAAATTCAGTTTAACCTTTTTGTATGAAAATTTATAGTGTATATACTTACACTTTTATAACTTGTGTGCATCTGAGAACTATGGGGATAACTATATATATATATATATATATATATATATATATATATATATATATATATATATATATATATATATATATATATATATATATATATATATATATATATATATATATATATATATATATATATTAACTATATTAACAGAGTCTGGAGGTACCTGTATGAGAATGAGCAGGAAAGCGCAAAAGTACTCATTGATGCTTGACGCAGTCTCCGAGAAGAACCTGGAGGCATTAGCGTTGATGACCAAGTAACCTGCCAAGGTGAGATACACAGCATTAGTTATGGGGATAAGTGTGTGTGTGAGAGGGAGAGAGAGAGATAAGGGACTGGTGTTAGTTTTTTTTAATGAGAGGAGTGTGGTAAAGTGTAGAGACAGATGCAGTGACTTATGGAAGCAGCTGAGAGAGTGATGGTATAGGTGACTGTTGTGAGTGTGTGAGTGTGGGAAGAGGGATGTAAGTAGAAGAAAATTGTACGCTGTATATTCATTATGATACTGTATGGGTGTATACAAATTTTGTATTGTACGCTGTATATTCATTATGATACTGTATGGGTGTATACAAATTTTGCTTCACCAAGAGTTGAGATACTTAACACCAATGAATTTATACTCAATAACATGACAAATATTGTAAGGGCGGAAACTATCTTCCTGCTTGTTACCGTTGCTTACGCGCTCGTTTGCTGGTGCGGACGACACTTGAGGCGGTTGGACAGAGGTGAGAACGGCAGCGTCTATCTGGGTCACCGGCAGATTCAACCCAGCCGCCATACAGTCACTATCTAGCTACCCCGCTGTTCGTCAAATTCTGGCTGTGATCTCATCATAGGTCCTGGACTCGTGGGCTGTGTCCCCAGACCTTCACCTATCGACTGTCAATTCTCTGGTCATCTACCACTACCATACCATGACCGTCAGTTCATCTCATTCCGTCTGGGCCCCGGTGTTCTCCTGCCATTTCAAGACGTCGCTCGAGTGTGGAGTTGAATGGACGCTTCCCGACCCTGAGTGTGCATCACCATGTTCCAGAACCTTCCCCCAGGGCCACTGCCATAGGAAATATCTGTTCATTGTTTGATTCTTTCAATTGTTGACTCCATTTAATTGTTTGAATCCATTAATTGCTGACTCCCATTAATTGTTTGATTCCTTTGATTCCCTTAATTGATTAACTCCATTAACTATTGACTGCATTAATTGTTTGACTCCCGTAATTATTTGATGTTTGTTGAGTGGTGTCAAAGTTTTGTGTTATATTTTTATCGTAAAGAGATGTCAATCTCAAATGGTTGTTTGTTATTCCTCAGAAAACCATGGTCCTTGACTTTCCTTTATTAAGATCCTGATTGGTCTGGTAAGGGATTACTATCCCTAATTCCCAGGTCTTTACAAATATCAATGGCATGGCTTGATTGATAGCCCGTTTCACCTGCGCTTGTGTCATTATTTTGAGAAATATCGCTCATCTGTGATCAAAGTGGGGAGGAGAAGGAGGAAGAGGATCATTCCCTGTAACTGTGATGATGTTTACCTGTAAAGTTCTGGAAGAGGAAGAGCGTAGAGACAATGGCGATGGACTTCAGAGCTTGTGGCTGAAGAAGTCCGCGCCACACGGACTGTTTCTTGTGTTCTTGGTTCATTAGGTGGTAACTGTTGATCTCCGCCTGTATGTCTGCGTTACTTCCCCGTAACTTCATGAGCACCTCCTTCGCTCTGTCTTCATGACCTGTAACACGTAACTCTCACCTCATTACCATGTTACTGGTCTACCTTCCTGAAACATATCTCCTGCTTAAAATTCACTGGATGTTTCACTCACTCACAGAAGAGAGGAACAAGGAAGAACTAGAAAGTAGTTACCTTTGAGCACTAAGTAAGAAGGACTCTCTGGTACACAGAAGAGGCCGAGGAGGAAGATGATGGGGATGACGATGATGATGAGAGCCACATTGTAGTAGCGAGTCTTGTAGCCCACACCCATTATGACCAGCTGACCTGTAGTGACACAAAACACGTCACTCCTCACATAACGCCTCGTGAAATTCCTCGCATAAGATGTTGTGACACTCCCCATATAACATGATACATCTCTCAAACCGTGAAAAACTTCATATAACATGACACCTCTTGCGTAGCATGATGCATCTCTCATAACACGATATTATTTCTTGTGGAAGATCATCATCAACGAGCTCTTCAAAGCCCATCAGTAGTCAGGTTACTGGCACTTTCCTCGTTATCTGTTGGTTTGCCCCAACATTCCTACTGATCGGATTCGTACCACCTCCGACCTGGATCAACCTTCAGTTGACATGACAGCTTATGGCAATGTGTTGAAGGTTGCAGACTTGGCTGGACTGCATTCTCCTCTGATTTTTGCAGGTTCAGGTGATTGCTCAGAGGTGGACATCTCCCAGGAGTACGGTCTTACCAATACAATCTCCATCCCATTCAAATGATGCACTTTAACTTGTCCAGTTGGGTCACTCTCGGGGATAAGTTGGTAAGACTATCTACCTCTCAGTGTCTTGATGATGCACACTAGCATTGTGACTGGTAGCAGGTCATCTTCTTACCCTTTTTCCTGTGCCGTTCAGCTGGTGATAATTTGAGCCACAGGTCGCCCACACGAAATGCTCCTCCTCAACTGCAATATTTCTTGTTTCTCAATTTCTGTTCCATGGCTATTCTCTCTTTTGGTGAATGTAGTGCTTTGTTGTTCCTAACCAACTTCTCCCACAATAATCGTCCGGCTACCTCCACATTGCTCAGGTATGGGAACACCATACATCAGTTGGTGCAGAGTCTAACTTGTCTTGGCATTCCTTGATGTATTGTGAGTGGATTGCAGACTGGGCACCATCTCTGGCCACAAATCGATTTTGTTGTCACATAGACACCTCTCTACCTGGGCCTGGATAAGGGATGAGAGGGCACTTCATGTTCCTCATGAATGTCCACCATCTGACATATTGCTTGGACCATCTTGGGCGGCAAATAAGGTCCCCGGTCTGATGTAGCGTCTCACGTGAGCACCATCTCAATGTAGTGCATCAAGTGTCCTGCATCTGCATTCGGCAGAATATACAAAACTGACGCTTGCCGGAGATAGGGGGCGGTCCAACGAAGTTCAATTGTACCATCCCTTTGTGTAGTCAGGAATTCCCATGAATAGCAACGGTGCTCTCCCCAGCACTTCAGTTCTTTTGTTCAGCCCACATGCCTCTCACTTGCTGATGTGTGTCGTTACATCAATCTTCATCCTTGTCCACCAGAAACTGCTCCATGCTCTCTTCCAGGTGTGCTTGGGCCCAGCATTTACTGTGTTGTACATAGCAGAGCACCCCTTGCCGAAACGGAACCTGAAATGATTTTGTTCCCCCTGAACTAAGGCCAAACCGTTCCTCCCATCACCATCCAAGATTCTGGCCATGAAAATCATCATCTCTTCGTCTTCCTGCTGTTCCTTGGTCAAAGTCAGTGTGTCCCAGAAGGTGTTGGGGAGATGCTTAGTAGCATTGACTGCACCAGCTGAGGTAGTCCTTATTTGTCCAATGTCAGACACAACCCATTCAACCTGATCATGGATCATTATATTCCACCACTGCCATCAGTCAAGGTCAAGTAACAGGGGAGTTATAGTTGGTTTTATTCTCTAGGTTACAAGTGATGCTTTCTCGATGATGATCAGGGTACAACTGTCCTGACTGGCTGGTGCTTGGTGCTACCCTAACTCGGCTGACAGTGACAGTGTGGCCAACAGGTCTGAACAACTTAGGGGCAAATGACTGAAACAAATAACTTATAAACGTGAACATAGCATACTTTTCAGAATGTAATGACACAATACAGTACAGTAAAATCTGAACATAATAGTACAAAACATAACACTCCTCTTGTAACTACTGTACACGTCTCTCATAACAACACGTAACACGACATAACATAACACGACACGCCTCATAACCCAATACATCTCTCATACCTTAACATGATACACTTCTCATAAAGCTAATAGCTGCTATACTAGAGGTCACAGTCATAACCTAACGAAACTATCAGCACAGAAAAGTGTCGGAATTAACTTCTTTGGATTAAGTGTTGTGAAGTTATAGAATGATATAATAATTAATATCGAAAATATGGAATAATATGGCAGTTAAAGTTAGGATTATGGAAAAAAATATAGCAGTAAATTATGAAGATATGTAAAAATACCAGTTAACATTGAGGTTATAGAATAATATAGAAATATCAAGACGGCACCGAGTAAGGCTCCTGTAAGTCCAGACGGTACTGCAGCGACTACACATCCCTCACTTTATCCCAGAGAGAGTTGGAGAAGAGAACTATTATCTGACTAAACCAACAATCTTACAATAGAGAAGACGGGTGAAGTACTAAAGTCTTACCAGTGGTGATGCCGGTGCTGAAGATGACAGCTATTACACCGCGCATCTCTGGACTTGCCACCTCTACTTTGTAAGTGTTGAGGGCCACACTCGCCCCTCCTGCCACCATCCCTGAGAGTAACCTGTAAGGAATCATCACATGTCACTACTACTATCACTTCTAAGACTTGGGCACTGTGAAGATTAATGTAGGGAGATGTTTAGTTTTCAATGGAAGTTCTCGTTCTCATAAACTTTAGATTTTTTTAGGAGGTATTGCGAGGGTAAAAGAAGCTGATGTAGGCAGAGGGAAGCCATATTGCACTCTTGTTAAAACACAGAGATGAGCTGGTGGTCGGAGAGAGTGATAAGGGTAAACAAAATTACATATTAAGTATATGTTGAATACAAAGTCTAAATTTCGACTCAAACAAGATACTGTACAAGTAAATAAGTAAATTCAGTGATAAAATATTCTCTCTCTCTCTCTCTTGCCAATGTTTGACAGCAGTTGACAGAGAGTTAGTTGTCAACAACCTCACATAATTTGTACTGTATATAGTAAAAAGAAGAGAACGATATAGAATGTGACAAAGAACATAACTGACCTTGCCAGCAGAAAACCAGGTATCGTGTCAAGCAGAGCCACACCCAGCCAACTGATCACAGCTACAACGCCCACAATGGCCATGGCGAAGCGACGACCCTTCACCACCATTACCGCCCCGATAGCCCACGATCCCGGCAGCGACCCAAGTGATACCAGACCACCTAAGGGTACAAAGTCACCTGTTACCACCTGCTTCACCACCTTAGGGTACAAGGTCACCTGTTACCACCTGCTTCACCACCTAAGGGTACAAGGTCACCTGTTACCACCTGCTTCACCACCTAAGACCAGCATGAAATGGATCCCTTGAATTCACTTATGGCGAGCCTCTACCCTCATGGAGTTGGTCTATATTAATTGGTTCATTAAGACAGTAAACAGAGAATAGAACAAAGAGAACAAAATATAACGACAATGACTTGTGCTCACATGCTTGACGAACCTTACTGGTAAACATGTATGAGGAGATGAAGTCTCTCAAAATGTCGACTTGTTCGCCGAGGAAGGCCGGGCACACGGACTTGAGAAACACTTATCCGGGCTGTTGAACACTGTCAGTTTGCACAGCTTGCCTGAGTGTGATTATATGAACCTTTCTTTTAGTTAGTTGCTCTGATAAGTTGAATATAACCGTCTAACTCTCTTAACTTGTAATTTAGTTATGTGTGTAACTTCAGAGTCGGATACTGGGACAAACTGCCACTACAGTGTTGATTGACGGTAGTTGAGGAGGGACTTACCCACGGCATCCATCTGGAAGTTGGTGAAGGCGATGTGTGTGCCGTAGATGGTGGTGTTGTGGGAAAACAGGTCAGAGGACAACACAGAGGGGTACACTAGTATGGATCCCATCACCCACATGCCTAGGCTCGCCAAGAAACATGTCACCCCCTGTGATGAAGAGTTTAATACACTAACAACCAATAAACTTAACAGTGAGAACAAGATAAACAAATAATCATATTATTTCATTCTTCATTACTTGTATAGTGATGTACAAACGTAACTTGTTTTACCCGCAGGTGTTTGAGCATGATTGGGGCATACCTGTCTCTCCAATTTGGGCTAAGTTTATAAGATGACAGCTGAATGAAGCATAAATAAGTAGATTAAAGATAATTTCATAATATTCCTGGATGAGTAAGAGTCGTGTTCACTCTAGGAGGAATTTTGACTCATGATATTCAAGTGAAAGAGACTGAGCGATGTGGGTGAAAAGGAGGGGTGAAGCTGCTCATGAGATTTGGCGAGTGCTAGAATGTAACAAAGTTAAACAACGTTCTCTCGCCTTACCTGCGATAACAGATGTTTTCTACTACCGGACTTCTCAAGCTGGCAGGTCGACTCCATCACCTCTTTGGCATCCTTTCCAATAACATATTTTCTTGCATTGTGCTGTTCTGCCGTAATGGTTTCAGGCTGGGTGTTGACCGTGTCTCTAGAATCAATACTCTCAGAGATGCTTGTTATTGATGTGCTGTTTGAGTCCATGACGCTCTTGTGCTGCTCACTTGTGTGTGTCTTCTTGCTACACCTGTACCTGGTGATACTAGTTTTTAGTGCTGGCCTGAGTGTTACCTCATCGTGTGACCTGCTAACCTTTTTTCACAGTTCACTTAAGTTGTATTGAAGTTAAGTCTCCATTACTTATGTTAACAGTAGTTCTAAACCAGAGAGTCTAGAGACGTTTATAATGAGTAACACTGATCATTATATGTTATGCTACCGTGCAGGTGGGGTCCCAACTGAACAGTCCCGTTGTCTCACGATGGTTGGTAGGCCTGAATGCGAGACATTTCGTACTTAATTTGGTAGGCTGAAATTAGCTATTTCATTAACAATATTGAATTACTTTGTTACAATATGACTGGAGAATGTCAGTATAAATTAAACTTTATGTTGTATTAAGTGTTCCACACACCACAGTAACCATGGAAGTGGATGAGTCGCCATACAGGAAAGTATTATATGGGTGGCAGAATTAGTGGATATGGTGAAGGTATAAGATTATTTTATAACCGAATCTCGAATCTGTATTTGTATTGCTACTTCACTTTGGGCTAATGCCACATTATGTCATTCTTTATTAGTATTGGAAATTTAAATTGAAATATTTTATTGACCATAAAACTATTACATCAAAAGGGACAGGGTAGTATACTACTCCCACCCTCACCTGTCGTCCCCTTCTGGGGTTTACAAAAAGTTATAAATGTTATAACAAGACAATAATTATTTGTACATCAATGAAATAGTTCATTTTGGCATGAACACTGTGCTACATTTAAAGAACAGATAATGTAATCTTACACAAAGATAAATGTCATATACTTGGAGCAAAATTTGTATACATTACAAGAATCACTTTAATCTTTCCATTATTGATCATCAACAAACTTGTTTTTTAAAGTAGTGATCTCACTGTCCCGGTATGGTGGGATATTTTCACATCCTAATGTTGTAGTGTATGGACATCCCTAAGACGACACAGTTGACCCGTCCCTCCAGTAATATTTGTATCCCAATCTTAGTCTCATTATAACAGTATCAACAGATGGTAAGATAGTTTCATAAGTTACATTGGTGTTTTGTAAAACATACAAATAATGCTGAAAACTCTCGCTACATAAGGCAGTCACTTCTCTTCTCGCTTTTCCCATTCCTCTCTTTTTCTTTTCATTTCCCTCTTTATCGTTCTAATACTTTCATTGCTAACAATATCTATATACATCTTTTCTGCAGCTTTTTTGGTCAGTTTGTCCGCCATTTCATTTAAATTAATCCCCACATGTGATGGAATCCATACAAACTGCACAGTACATTCCATTTCTTGCATTACTATGACCAGTCGTTTACAGATATTAACAATATGAAAGTTACATGGATTTTACTCTGCAAAGCTTCCAATGCACTTTAACTAACAACAAAAATATATGTTTCTTTACATTTCTCTATATCAACCTGGAGTCCTTCACATATTGGGTGTAGTTCAGCCAGCGTGGATGAGGTGTTGTTAGTAATTATTTTACAAACTGTTTCATCTGCATAACACTCAATGATAAAATATTCCTTAATGAAAACACTATCTCCCGCTTGACCATTACTTAATACTGATCCATCACAATACATATGTACAGTGTTTCGCCTGGTAAAACTATCTATTTTCTCTAAAAACACATTTCGTAAATAACTGGGATGCCAATCATCTTTTTGTCCCCTCAAGCTGTAAAATATCTACTGCAATGCATCCTTCCTGCCATGGTCTAAACCTTAAATAAGTCTGTAATGAAATCCAATATATATCTACTCCATCATAATATTATACACTAGCCTTGGACACATTGCCAAGATCTGTTCTTTTATTTAATCACATTATTGTACGGGACACCCTATTATCTCCTCCTCTCCTAATGGTCCTAAGAGTAGCGGCTACAGCAAGTTCCTTTACTCTATGCTCTATACTTGGTAAATCTAACTCCACTCTCATTATTTCAATTCAATTGTTCCGTTGACAACATAGAACAATTCTCGTGGCCTCGTTGTGTATCACTTCAAGCTTTTGAATGACTTTCTTACTATACATTATAAGGATGGGAGCTGCATAGTCACTAACTGAACGTATAGTACTGATATAAACCATCTTTAAAATAGGAATACCTGCGCCATTTACCTTCCATGCTCAAGGCTCTTAAAGGTCTTAAACGTCCCTTACACACACTCTCCAGGTAGTGCATCTCACGTACTTTACTGTTGGACTTATACCCAATGTGCATCCCAAGGTATTTGTAAACATCAACTTTTTCTCGCCTTAATCCATTAAAAAATAAATCCCCGTGTTCATAATTTCTGACCTGATATGAATTTTTTTCATTGTTCATTACAAGGCCCATTCTGCAACAAAGTGTACTCAGTGCATCTAAAGCCTCTTGCACGTTTCTCACACCTTTACACTGTATAAGTATATCATCAGCATATATTCTAACCTGTGTGTCTCTAGGAAATTCGTAGCGAGCCATTATGTTCATCAATATGTTAAAAAGAGTGGGGCTAAGTACCCCTCCCTGTGGGGTCCCCAACTCTTTCTTCTGAGGACCAACCCTCAAACCATACTCTAGCCATTCTGTTACTCAAGTAATCCACAATCCATTTCAGCTACTTCCCAGAAACCCCTAAATTAATTAGTTCCCCAAGTATGACTTCTTTATTTGCCCTATCAAAGGCCCCTACAAAGTCCTGCCTGTAGCCTCGGAGTTATTCAAACACTTTACATCACAGTCTGCAGTGCCTCTCCCTTTAATACATCCAAGTAAATTGAGCACCAAGAGATTTTCCACTTTATACAACAACCCGTTTAATACTATTCTTTCCATCATTTTACTAAAACAAGAGGTCAAAGATATTGGACGAAAATCTCCATTGTTCTTTAGTATAATTACTGCTTTCTTCCACTTAATACAACCTCCATTATAAGACACATTAAACAAGTCTAACAGGGGTCCTTCTCTAATACCAGCCACACAGTTAAGGATATCACATGTTAGTCCATCATCACCGGGTGCCGTAGACCTTCCCTTTTTAATCGCATATAATAACTCGCCTCTCGTTATAGGAACACATGTATCATCCTCCAGTGTACACTGACTTTAAACTAACTCACTCCTAAGTCTACTCTTGAGGCCTGCACACACTGAGGCAAAACTAGCAAGCCCAGCCCATTTCCTAATAAGTTGACTAGCCCTGTGGGTCAGCGTAGCTGCTGCCCTTGCTTCGTTATTCTTATTGGAAAATATACCATGATGTTCCGAAACATCTGAATAGCTCCACAGTTTCGCATGCCGTCATAATGGAATCCAGCCCAACGACGTTTTACCATACGGTCGATAATTCCGGAAAGTCTAGTACCGAGTTTCGTTTCAGTGTGTCGATCGCTTGTTTGGAGCACGTGTGGCCGAACCCATACACGCGCAGGGCTACCAGTGCCTCAGGGGCCTTCTTTAAACACTTCGTTTGTAGTGTCAATTCGTTTTACGTGGGAATCGTAACGATAGTTTTTTTTACCGAGTGTTACACGACTGGCTTATGATTAGTTGACTGACTGACTCTGTCTGATTAGATGACTGACTTACTGGTTAACTGGTTGACTCACAGACTGATTGACTGATTAGTTGACTGACTGCCTCACTAACTGACTGAATGACTAGATGACTGACTGATTGACTGAATGGAACGAACAATGTTGAGATCATCCGTCCCCGAGGCATCTTATAGCCAGTTTACATTCTTATTATTATTTATGAAAACAACTCTGGCAGACAATTTTATACATCGTAAAAAAGAAGAAAATAACTCTTACAATTAAAAGATAAAAGCATACAATTTCGGCGTAGTAGTGTGCATATGAGCGATATTTTTTCAGAACGTGAGTTTATTTTCCCAGTAGAAATTCGTCACTCAACAATGGTGTGGCTGCCTCCACTCCCTCAAGGATAGTCCATGAATGTCAAGTAAATATTTATTCTTATGTTGAAGATAAATTGGGTATGTTAATAAACCAGTATTACCACCCCCCCGCCACCAGTCCACCACCCACCATCCAGTTTTACAACCACCACCAATACTGCCGCTCACCACTATTACCGCCAATCATTATCAACCACTAATACTACTACTACCCACGATCACTAACACTCACCAGCACTACCAACACCCAGAGGGATATCTGGTCTGGGAGGGAAGAGGTGTTGGTAACGGCTGGGGACCTGTAGGAGGAGGTCATAGGGCAAGTGAGGATGTGGTGAGGGAGGGTGTGAGAGTCGGGTTGACCACAAAGTTTACAAACAGTGCGGCCAGGCTGAGGGTTGCCAATGTACTCCCATAGGTACCTGTACCCTAGGCGCAGTCTCATGTATATACTCTGTTGAGATCAAGTCAGGGATTGATACTGTTTGTAGTGGCAATTGTCCTCACCGGTTACAGCGTCACGTTCTCTCAGAATTAAAAACAAGTTCCTCTTGCCCCTAATTACACACCGCACATCTTGGAAGCCCTGGGGGTTGAACGTTCAGGTTATTTACTCTTTCTAGTTTGTTTTGATACGAGTCGCAGATCCAGTGGTAGAGTAAAGTGGAAAAAAAATAGTTTTTGAACAACTTATCTGGCAGACTGCCAGAGCCACCCAAAACCTAACCTTACCAAATCTTACTGCCTAACCTAACCCAAATGATTCGGTTTCACGGGGTTCGTGGCTCAGGAGGAGTGGCGACTCGATTTTTGTGAGTGACTGCACAGTACACATAGACAGTGGAAGTATGCAGTTTCCAATGTATATTTAGTCAGCTCAGGTATACAGTAAGGCACTTTGACAAAGGATAACCGATAAAGTCATTAGATGTTTATTTCCAGTATGGTGCTGGCTTAGGCTATAGGTATAAAAGGGAAAGGTTTTGCTCAACAGAACATGCATTACATTCTGCTTGGACTAACCGAGGCTGACTGACCATTTCAACGACTCGTACAATTTTCTATGTGTAATAATATCGA